CATCCTTTTTGTTTCGGCTATGCTTTTGACAATTGACAACGCCCATGGGAAATAAATAAATAAATACACTAAGTGCAAACTTGATTTTGAATTTCTGAGTTCCTCAACGCAGGAAAATCAGAGATGCTGCACACGTCATGCGTTGACGTGATTGATGATGATTGTGAGACCAGTGCGGTTACTGACTGGCTCCCTCGGTAAGTAAAGGAAACATCAGTATATTCAGACTTCTGCACAAATTTCACTTTTTCACAACGCGAGGCACACCATTCCCAAACAAAAGAAATGTTATGCCTCGTATTCTTCGACGAGAGCAATACAATGAACAATTTTGGCTCGCTGCATAGCCGAGTCAAGAAACGATCCACGAAAGTTTGATGACATAGGTGATATAAACATAAAGGTAACTTTTTGACTTTTGAAACCTCCATTCACGGTCTTTGGTCAAATCGACTTTTACCTCAACGTTTTTATAGAGGATTTTTTGGCTTTTGCATTGTTTAGGGAGTATAATATCACATGGAGAGTTTGAACAATCTAGTATTAATGATGAACGAAAGACAAGCAATCTTCTACGGGACTTCCTTATTCTAGCCCAACACCGACTAGGCCCCGTGGCATACTTGAAACAAAGTTTCGAAGTGCTTCACTGAAGATTCTATTCCAAGCTCTAATTATTGAATGCTTCAGCTCCTCTGTTGTCTGAAACTGACAGTGACATATATCTTTCTTACAACGTTGCTCCATAGACTCTCTGTCGTGCCGGGATCAGGACTGCAAGGCAGCCAAGACTGTTGGAAAACGTAGTCGAGGCCGCCGGTAAGGAATGTTACCAGGTGCCCTTGGAAGACTTTCTGGTAATCCCTGGTATCCAATTTGCAGGTCACGAAACAAGCTCTAGCACGATATCATTGCAGAAAGCACTCACTCTCATGGCACTCCCTCATCCAAGATTGCGATTGCTAAAGTTGATCGGCTGTTTTCGTAAGCCGAAATAGTAGTATTTGTAACCGTCTGCTGTCCGAATCAAATTTCCTTTCATCGGTAAACGAATTAAACGAGAATTTTTGACCGTATGGTTGATATCAAAACAGAATTATCTTGGTCCAATCTCTTCCTGAGTACAATCTTGCAAATTGTAGTTGCAATTTTCTTGGAAGTCGGTTACACTCGGAGCCCTTTTTATTGGTGCCCAGACAAATTTGCTGCTTCTTTTTATGATCCTCCATATAGTGATTTTCAACAGATCCAACTTCGATTGAACCTAGCTCAACGACAAGGGACTGTTTAAAATAGCGTTGGAACTTCTATTCTCGTCGTTGGCACCGATGGATGTTACATGACGTCGAGCCTTACGTGTAGACTCCGAAGACATCGGAACTATTCAAACACCTTTGAATGGAACTGAGAGATCTTCAAAGATTTCGGTTTCATGATTCTTCTTCTGAGGAGAGATGACGATGGCGAGGCAAGACAATTATGGCTTTCGAATAAATTTTCGACACACTCTCTTTTATGCAGATCCCTCGAAAATCAAACTTTTCCGCACTCCATTATCAAGTGTTCATCTCAGAGTGATCTTATGCTTAAGTAATGGAGCAAAAATCGAAAATAATCCACAAAGGAAAGCTGATCAAGCTAAATGGGATCAAGTATGGGATTAACTGATAGGGATCTGATGAGGGTGCTGACAATTCGTCTTTATGGCCGCTTATCTTGTAAGGGCTGAATTTGAGGGTGACCTCATACTTATGGAACGCACAACCAATCAGATCGGCAGGTTAACGCAGGGTTTCCCTAATTCTTATGTCGAAGTTGTAATGATTGGCTAACCCGCACTCCTTCTTCGGAACAGTTGGTACTTTCCTGAACACAAAATTTGGCAAAGGACTTACAGGGCAATACAAATGGTTCTCAGTATGTGCTGATGCTTATGGCAATGACAAGACGCCTAGATGTGTTGTTCTTGGGAGAAGGACAGTAGGATCGGTTCTGTGTAATCGATTCGCCGCACGCTACTGTCGCACACCATTCGTCTCGCTATTATTACAACTCTAGCGTTATTCATGCAGCTTGATCAATATGAGATCATTATTTAAGGCACGATCTTACTGTTAGCTCTTTTGTTAGTGTATTTCTTAGTTTCTGCTGCATCCTGCTACATTCCTTTGCGCGCGGCGTCCCACTTGCCGCGATGCGACCATTTCGGTCCTGCTGCACCACACCCGTTGTTCTTCGTACCAAGAAATAATCACTCAGTGAAGATTCATTCAGGCGACCGAAGCCTTGTAAGGCGCTGACGAATGTTGTCAAGGGATGATAACATCCTTGCGGTCCCGTAAGACTTGTACCCAATAGAGACAGAGAAGTCGCGATCCTTCATTTATTAACAAACTTGCGCGGTAATGGAACTAAAAACAAAAAGAACCCAATTTTTAACTCTTTGTAATGTAGCGCACTTGTTACTCACTTTTTGTCATCCTACTCTGCTGTCCCTTCTTATCGAATGAAGCCCCCTATTAACGCTTATAGCTTATTGCCAGTTATCCCCATCGACCATTTTCAATCCCGCCATACCCCACATCACATGCCAAACAGTCAAAGCCCCACTATTACTGCAATTTTTCCAGTGACTTACGCTTTAGAAGGTTGGATCAGCCCTTATCAGTTGTTACGAGGGCTGCCTTTCATATTTCGGGATTTGGAAACACTAGTGTAGCAATCCAGCAACTGACACCACTATCGTAAAGTTTGAGTATTTTGAGGTTCCGTTGCAAAATTTGAGCGCGATTTGTGTTGTTTACACTAAGTCGTAAGGTTTTGTTTCGGCCAAGTTATGGAGTTTAACCGTGGGCATTTTCGCCCGACAACTTTCGACGTGGACTAACTCAAAA